TGGCTGAAACTGGAAGTACAACAATTGAGATTAAAATATGTAGAAGAGTTGTTTCCAAGAGGCAAGAGCTGGACAGTGACGGTTCCTTCAGCTTCAGCGATGTGAACGGGGAGACGAAGGTGAAAAGCTAGGCGGGGGATAGACAAATATCTAAGAATTAACACATTATGTTCATGACCTATTTTAACAGCTGGACCTCCAAGACTAATAATGTCAGGGTCCCATTTCAGTTATTCCTTCTTTTCACTATTTGCTCTTCTCTGTCTCTGTTTTTTTTGTTGCTGTTGTTGTTTTTGGTTTTTTTTTTTTTCACCTGTGCTTCATGTAGTTTCTCTGTGGCTATGCATCCAGCACATTTGGCCAGTCGCCCACCCCCACACCAAAGGTAAACTGAATACATGAGTTCCTCTGTTGTATATTCACCTCTCCTTGGCAAGGATTTTGCTTTGCTCTGTTGGTTTATTCCTCTTCCTACACTATCTATAGAGGATCCATTTCAAGTGACTGATGTGATGGAGAACAATTTTATGGCTTGTGAATAGATGCTGTGACTGTGTCATTTATTTCTAGGATTCAACTCAGAAGAGCTTTGCAATGTTGGGAATTTGGTTTGGATAAAATCAGAACCAGCCCAAGCCAAAGCTTTGGGGTCTTTTTCTGATATCTGAATAATTTTAATTAACTTCAGATGTATCACTTGTGGAATTTGGCTGTTGTTTATCATGGTGCCACCATTGGCTTCAGACCTCCATCCAACCGAAAATCTGGTCCTGTTTTGCCCTTTTTGAAGCAGGAAGCTGACAATTCATGTGAGAAGACAGACTCCTGGATTGCATTTCTGGGTCACTTGGAAATGCCATCATTCTCAGTGTGAGGGTTGGGTCTTCTCCAGTCAGGGAAGAGCTGAAATCCAAGCCTTCAAAGACACAGCTAATATTGAATTTAATATTGAATTTTGCCATGATCACCAAACCAGCTGTTGGCACCTTTTTTAGCTCTCCTCTGTTGCATCTCATCTCCTGACTGGTTCTGATGGCTTCCCAAACCTTTCGTGCTATATATTTGGCCATAGGGTAGCATACTGTGTGCTAAAGGTTTTGTGACGTTAGCTTAGCGACTCCACTCACATTTCCACAGCCAACTCTCGATAGCCAGAGGATTATGAGATGGACCTGACTTTGAAAATCCAGATCCTTGCATGGGGCTGAATTTCAACCTTCCTACCTCTGCAGTGTCTCGGGGTGTTTGGACTTGGAATTCCAATGAGGGGCATCTGACCCAAAATGACCCAAAGCCATTCATTCTAGAGCTGAACTCCTTCCTCTTTGTATCACGATTGCAAATTTTTCAGATGGCAACATCTCATTGGACCCTGCTCTAGAGCTGTAGCAATGTCACATGACAAATTAGTCTTTCCTGAGTAAGGATATGGTGAGGTTAAGCCCAGGAGATACAGGAAAATGGGAGAAATAATGCTGAAGATTCCCATGAGTTTTATACTTGTCATTGTTGTTCTCATAATATATTCTTATGTTTTGTAGGTTTTCTAATGAATAATAACTGATTATATCTGTTAGACATGGAGGCAAGGGTGAAACAGCCAGGCTAAAAAAGATTTTCCAATTATATCAACATCAGTAAGTTTTGTAAAATGGGGGTTTAGCTCAAAATAGTGATGCTTGGCACTGTTATGCAGCCTATGCCAACTTTGCATCTGAAGGCACTTTCCAGACTGTACAGCCTTTAGGAAAGAGACTGTCTCTTCACTGCATGCCATTGCAGAACCCGCTGTGAGGGGAGCCTCAACCTTCAGTGGCCACTTGAGACCACCTCAGTCAAGCAAATAATAAGTGATAAACATATTTTTTCTCAGAATTCAGAAAAAAAGGCTGAGAAACAGCATATCATGTTGGCATGGCCCAGTTTAATGACCTTATAATCCTAAAAAGATGTGAGGATGGTCCTGTGTCCAGAACCTTTCCCCAGAGTATTGCTGGCGGTACATGCTTCTCTCTCCTCCCCTAACTCACCTTAATTAATTAATCTTTCTGAATTTCCACTGAAGCAGGTCGCCCTCTTCCTCGCAGACCTAGTGCTGAGTATGGCAATCCTGGTGCACCACGCAGCCTTCTCCTTAAAGTGAGAGGAGAAGGTGCAGAAGGTTCCCAGGAGTACCTCCTGTTGTTTCCTGCTCAGTGACATTTCTCTCTGCACTGGCTTTTCTCCTTGCTTCTGTTTACTTGGTTAGACTGTTACAAAGAACAAAACCCAGTGATTGTCCTGGCTGGAACTCTGGGACCATCTTATTTAACATAAGTTTGTGTCCACTGTAACCCACTGCAGATAGCTTGAACTGGTTATTGCTGTTTCAGCCCTGTACACATGATTATTACCTAAATGTGTCCAAGACACCAATAGAAGGAGCCTTCCAGTACCTGAAGGGGCCTACAAGGAAGCTGGGAAGAGATTTTCTGCAAGGGCCTGTACTGATAGGACAAGGGGTAATGGGTTTAAATTGAAAGCAGGAAGGTTTAAATTACATATCAGGAAGGAATTCTTCCTGGAGAGGGTGGTGAAACACTGGAACAGGTTGAACAGAGATGCTGTGGATGCCCCATCCCTGGAAGTGTCCAAGGCCAGGCTGGTGAGGCTTGGGGGCACCTGGTCTAGCAGAAGATGTCCCTGCCCATGGCAGGGGGGTTGGAACTAAATGATCTTTAAAGTCCCTTCCAACCGAAACCAGTCTGTGATTCTATGATCCTATGATTTTGTGATTCTATGAATAGGTCCCTAGAGACTTAACCGCTTCACAGAGATGCTGGGAAATGTCCTGATGCTCCAGCTGTGGGATCTCAGACACTCTATGCTGGCAGAACATCCCCTTGTGTCCCAATAATGATATTCTGCCTTGACTGTTTTTATGTTATCACAAGCAGCCACACACATCTCTGCAACTCTAAATCCAGACTGGCTGGAGGTGGCATTGAAGCACGTCTGAATGTCATGCTGGTCTGCACATCTTCCTGAACTTCTCTTTTGAGATGGTGCTTCTCTGTAAATCATGTAGTTCTCTTCCTTATTAAGCTCCTCTCCTTTTTTCCCTTGGGTGCTGAGCACAGGGCGAGAGATTACTTCGTGCCCCAATCTGGGCAACATGAACTGTGTGTCATGGGGAAGAATGAGCAGCATTCACAGGTGCTGTAACTATGAACACCAGTGAAGAGATAGTCTATGTCCCAAAGATGCTACAGTCTCAGAGTTTGAAAGCTACGACATGTCTGGGCAGGAGAAAAGCAGAATTTATTCAGCTCTTTCTCCTTCCGACTATGGGGACTGGGTCTGTTTTGAGATAAAAAACTCTCCTTCTCTGCAGTAAAACCTGTATTTTCAGTGCCTCGCTAGGCTGTGTTGGCAGGCTGCTCCACTAATTTTTGGGCCATTTTGTTGGAATAAAGGAAGGGGAGCCTCTCCCCGTGCTGGTGTTGAGGTGAGGCAGGAGGAACCACTTCAGTGGCATCGCCCTGTCCATGCGGAAGGAAGCTAATGCAAAGCCTGCTGTTCCATTGTGTATCTGAGAGCCCAGTTAGTGCCCGTAGGGCTGGTGCCCACAACCGAGAGGGGTCTGTGCACAGACATCAAACCCAGGAAGCATGTGAATGGATGCGATGGTGCAGTCTTGGCAGGAGGAGCTCAGACCGCTCTGACAATTTGGATAGCAAGACAAGCTGCTTCCTGGCTGCTGTCCCTTCCCTCCAGCCCTCTCAGTAAAAAGCTCTGAGGTGTATGGATGGAGATGGTACCACTGCTTTTTACCAGAGCTGGATGTGTGCAAGGAAGGAATGCAAGGCATCAGCAACCTAGACAGGCAGGTCTTGCTGTCTGGAAGCAAACCACTCATGCATTCCCTTGCACCCTTTCTACCACCACAGCTGAAAAATGACCTCTCCCAGCCAGGCCCAAACTGACAAACCTGGCTAATGTGCAGTTGCTTCCAACTGCCAGCCCTGCTACTGCATCTGTTGCTGCTCCTAACCCCTGTGACTATCCTTTCATATTGCATAGAAGTGACCCCTTGCACAAAATTAGCAAAGTGATTAATCAAAGCTATCCAAACTAGGATTCTTGCTGAAACAACTTAATTACTCTAGATTTTTTAACAATTAGTCCTTTGGTGGAGGACTTTGCTGGGAGAGATCCCTGATAGCCCCCTGCCAAGCTCTCCTGGACAAGCAGGCCGGGTTTTCTGGTGTGTACATGGGCTGGGTTTTCTCTTGTTGGAATTCCATGATGACTTTATGTTTGTGTTGATTAGGTATGTCTCATCACCACATGCAACTTGAGCTGTGCAAATTCCCTGCCTATGGCAAAGGGGGCTTGGACTAGATGGTCTTTAAAGTCCACTCCAACCCAAACCATTTGGTAATTCTAAATTCCTCAGTTTTGTGGGGTGGAGATGTTTTCTGACAGGATATTAGTGATGCACAATGAAGCAGAAGTAAATATTTTAGCAAAAGCAGAAATAAAACTCACCACCTTGCAAAACATAGCTGCAAGGGGGCACTTTGTGACTCCATGCATAACGACCACCTGCGAAGAACAGGATGTTTGGAGGCAACATGCATTAAAATCCTGCTGGAATCCTCCCTTTGGGAAATCCCTGGCCATCAGGTCGTGTCATGGTTTGCCCTGTTTTCAAACCAGAGGGAGCTGCATCCTGGTGTGCAGCTCTTCCTCCAACCCATCAACAGGACTCTCTGTCCCACAAAGGCTCCCTGAACACCAGACCCTACAAGACACGTAGCACCACTGTGACCGATGTGCGTTGAGCTCAGGTAAAGGTGACTGATGCACAAAATGAGCTGGGGGCTTCATTTAGTCTGAAGCTCCTTTAACAAGGATCTCCCAGGGGAGGGAGAGGGGCTGTTAAGGGAAACCTCTCCATTCTGCTTTAGAAACACTTGCCCCACCTGCCCTTAATAATTGGATTATTAATTTAATCAAGTGAGCTAAAAAAAGGCAAAATACTCAGAATCATCCTGATTCACCCTAAATACCCACCTCGTTTGTCTAATTAATATTATTTTCCAAACACAATTCCAATCTTCTCTGTAGTTCAGACTGAGGAATATAGGCCAGCAGTTTCTGGAGCTGTTGCAGACTGAAAGCACCCCTGGCTTATTTTTTACCCTACATGGGTCTCTGGTCATATACCCTGGGGAAACGAGGCTCAGCCTGAGATGAAGAACCACGTCAGTAGGGTTGGCATGACCCTGCTGCAACGCATGGAGTCAGGGAAGCCCCAGCTGTTCCTGAGGAGCATCACTGGGCAAATGCATCGCCCCAAGCTGCAATGCAGAGGTTTTTGATGGCCTGGAAGGGGATGTTTGCTCTCATGGGCAGATCCTCCCCACAGCTCTGCATAGGGAAGTTGAGATGGCCAGTCACACAGGGAGGCTCAAGCAGGAGAAATTAAATTATGGCACTTTTTCTCCCTGGATAGAGGCACATGGAGCAGGTTGGCAGAGTCTGGTCATTGCAAGCTCACTGTGTCTGCCCTGCCCCTCTCCTGCTGCAACACTCAACCTCCTCTGGCCCTGCTCCCTCCTCCAGCCCAGCCAGGGACGTGGCCAGAGGGGAAAGGCAGTGTTATCCTTTCATTTCCTGAGCCAGCTCCACTGCGGTTTTACAGGGAGCGGAGACGAGGAAGCGCTCGCCGACGCTCAGCAGCCAGTTCAAACGGTCCCTGGAGCTGTTGATGAGGACTCTCAGTGTGTGCCAGCCCTTTTTTGTCCGCTGCATCAAGCCCAATGAGTACAAGAAGCCGATGGTAAGTCCTGTTTTTCTGTCCTGGTTGCTTTTTGTATGGGAATGCCTGCAGGGTGTTGTGGTTTAGCCTCTTCTCAACACAAACCCAAAACACAGTCTGATACTGTGAAAAAATTAACTGTTCCACCCAAACCAGCGCACAGGGTCACTCTGCCCTGGAACCAATGGTGAAACTTGGGAGACAGTGGAGCTAGGATTGATCCTGAGTGCTTAGAAAACCAACCTGCAGCCCTTTCTGCAAGGAAGGGAGTCTCCAAAGGGTTGGCAGAATCAGGCACTTTCTTTACAAGCCAAGAGCACCCCAAAACTTTTTGCAGAAGGGAGCTCCTGCCCCTGACTTTCTTCCCAGGGATGACCTGAAGTAATTCACTCTGCCACCCCTTCCTCTATAGGAAATGCCCCTGAATTTCCATAGGGGGTAGGTGCCTCCCTACTAGAGGCTTAGGCCAAGCTGTAGGACCCTGAGGTAGGTCCTACTGCAGGGTGCAGTGTTTCCTAAAAGTGATCCCCTGCCCACACGTTTTCTGCAAAACTTTTGCTTCCAAATAATTTCACCCTGTTTCACTGCTGTTAGATCCTTTCAATTGTTTTTTTAGCACCAATTGTGAAACAACAATTCTAAGAGCAGAGAAAAAAGGATGCAAAATAGCACAGAGGAAAGGTGAGAGGAATTATTTGCTCTGATTCCCAGAGAGTTGATTCGAAAGAAACTAACACTTTGGGGACAAACTTTAAGTAGCGAATGAAAGGGAAGGAGGCATCTGTAGTTCCCCCTGACCACAAACTGCTCATGGAGGGGGACTCGGAATTTTGTAGTGAAAGGTAGATTATAAGGCAGGTGCTGAACGCCCCAATCCCACTGTCAGCACCTTGCAAGATTGGACCCCAGTGCTGTTAGCAATCACAGCTGCTCACCACTCTTAATAGTGACACTGCTTGGGGAGGAACAGCTTTATTTAATAATAATTTCAGCTATTTGTTTCTGTGAGTGATTTTGCCCATGCCTTTGCACTTCAGCAGCGGTTAATCTAGACGGAGCTGGCACGTTACCTAAAGTCAGCGTCTGGGAGCAAAGCTCAACCGAGTGCATTAAAGCATAAAACACTGAATTTCAGAGCTGTTATGTACAAATTGTGTTTGTTTGAAACTTATTTTTGCTGTTCGGTGAGACTAATATGATATGGGGTGAGAGATTTGGTGGCTCTCCCAGCGCCATTTACTGTGCCCTTATCCTGGTTTTAGTAAGCATAAAAAGGCACCTAATAGCACGTTAATGGAATACGTTGTGTTAATATTTAACATTGTCTGATCTGAGATTATCATCTGAGCCGAGATCAAACCAAGACCTTCTTTAGGAACATGGTCAGTGTCAAAAAATAGGTGTACATCCTGAACTGACGTTAACAAATTATTCCCAGTGCCCTGACTCTGAGCTGCTTTTACACCTAGATGTCTGTGATGCGGTCTGGCATTTCGTTCCCTGCACAGGAAATGTGTATTACATCGGCTCTTGCAAGCTCTAAGCCAGAATTTTCTGTCCACCCCATTTATCTACAAAACTTATGGTGGGACATAAAAACAGCTGCAAGTTTGAAAGAATGAGACAAAGAGAAATTAATCTCCCCATTAAAGTAATGAATGGATGAGCTAACACTGAGTCAGGGACTGTAGTGCTATGAGATATGAAATCTGATTTCTTGCTAAATTTATTTTTGGCCTTGGTTTAATAATACAAAGGGGAAAAATATATCATAGATAATTGGGACACAGCTATGCAGGATGACTGCAAAAGAGAACATTTTCTGGGAGTTCATTTTCTGTCCCTGGCTTTGAAGGAATGTGTACTGATAGTGATAGGAAATGGGATAGTGGGAAGTGAAAGGTCAGTGGAAAGTCCTGACTGTTTGTTACTTTATGTTATTTTAAAACTTTTGCTTCCTTCTGAAATGTGCTTTGAGTAAAAAAAAAAAATAGTTTGCATCAGGATGCTGGCTGGATTTCTCTGGGTCTGTACATCGTCCCATGCTGCTGTTTCTGGGCATTGCTGTGTTGTACTGGTTAGTCCAAGAGAAATGCATGGGATGAATTAGGTAACGAACCACGCAAAGAAAGTAAGACTGTCTCCAGCCATCTGTGTAACATGAATGCCTCATCAGGCCCTGATGCCAGGAAGCTCGCAGTAGCCCTTATGTACAATGAACTAACCCTACAGACTCTGGAGAGTTATTGACAAGACCACAACCGCTCACTTACCCTTCTGCTTCATGGCAGAGGGAGACCGGAAAACATACACCTCTCTCCTCTGCACCTTCCTTGTCCCCACTCCCCGCTTTAGACAGGGACAGCTTGAGACCAAATCTGGATGATGCTACTTTCTGCCTTTTCCTCGCTGATCCGTTGTCTTCTCCTGGGATCAGTATCTGTCTCACTTCACTCCAGCCCTTTCATGGCTAAATGACTGCTATGAGCTAGTCAAAAAGCTTCTTCAGGGATGGGGACATGAGTACATCCATAGGGCAGATCCTCCTGTCCCAGGAAACACAGCTGAGATACAGGGATATCTGAGATACAGATCACTTAAGGAAGAGCCTAGGTGACTCACATTTTAGATGCTCACATCTGTACATGCACAGATACTTGCATTTTAGACAGCCAAAAGGAGGGCAGATGAATAACACCATGGCAGTAACTCTGGCCCAGGCCAGGATTTACTGTCCCAATTTTCCTTGGTGTGCCAGCACCACACGACATCTGCCTTTATTTTACACTTGGGTTCAACACTTTCTGGATGCTCCCAGCAGACAACATCAGGCTGAAAGAGGATGCATTCAGGGGCTCCAGGATCATCCTCAATCCAGTAAAGCACCAAGCTGATGGCAAGGATTCTCCTGAACCTTTTTTCGCCTTAGCAGATCTGCCCATTGAGCAGCATCACTCCTTATCTACCCAGAGGTGCCCAAAACAAGGGAGAGCAACCAGGTTTATTAGCAAACATCTGCAAAGTCTGGGTTACTTACACCCGTTGTCTGGCCTTGCAACTGTCTGTGGCTTGTCAGGAGTGGTCATGGATGCTGGTCTGGTATTTGGCCTTTACCTAAACCCCTCAGCTGGTCTCAGTTCAGACCTGTTCATTTTAAGCTCCTTAGATGCTCTTTTGGGTACAGGGTAGTTTGATGATAACAGGCTTATCTCAGGGCCTTGGCACCTCTAAGGCTGCACGCTTCCTTTGTGTGACTTCAGTGTGTCACGTACCTAAATATGAACTGGTGTAGGCACCCTAAGACCTTTGAGCGCTGTTATGGTCCCCTGCCTGCAAAACGATACTGGCCTGCCCATACAGGAGTGCTGTGACCATGCTGGTGAATCTCAGAGTGGCAATCAAAAGTTAATGACCTTGAGTGGTCATTGCAAGTGTGACTGTATGGTTTGATCCTTGTAGATGCAGTGTCACTGCACATTTTTCCAAGGTGATGTTCACCGTTGCATCATGCTCTCGTGTTCTCCTCTCAGTCCTTTGTCTAATGTGTAGGACACATCCAGTGTCGCAAATGGGAATTAAAGAAATGGAATGAGTCTAACACACTAAGCAGATCAGGCCCCAAACAACCAATAGTCCTATAACCTTGAGTCCACCAAGACAAGGGTTTGGGTATGTGCCTGACTCAGTTGTCCCACACATCTTCAGACTCCCCACTCTCTCACAGCCCAGCGAGGCCAAGATGTGCAATCAAACCACTGTGTCCTCTAACCTCCCCAGCTGTTTGACCGGGAGTTGTGCGTCCGTCAGCTGAGGTACTCAGGGATGATGGAAACTATCCGGATCCGCCGGGCCGGCTACCCCATCCGTTACACATTTGTGGAGTTTGTGGACCGGTACCGGGTGCTCATGCCTGGGGTGAAGCCAGCATACAAGCAGGTGAGCAAATGCTCCCACAGGTAACGACTGCTCTCTGCTGGGCTCTCCGGATATGTTTATGGGGTGTGCATGCTATCCAAAAGCAGATATGTCATGTTTGATGCCCAGATGTTACAGTGGTGCCCTTGGCTTTCCAAGTGAAAGAAAAATGGTTGTGGGGCTGGCAGGGACAGGGAGCCATATTCAGCCTGTTCCTCTCCCTCACCTTAAATGTGGTGACAGCGAAGCCCTACGAATGTCATCAGCAGAAAACTGCTCAAATTTGGACCAGAAAGGGTGTCTGTTGGGCGTGGGAGGAGTGAAGCGTGAGGCTGGTCCTAGTGAATCCCACCCCCTCTCCCACCAGGGCGACCTGCGTGGGACATGCCAGCGTATTGCCGAAGCAGTGCTCGGGAAGGATGATGACTGGCAGATTGGCAAGACAAAGATATTCCTGAAGGTAGGTGTCTCTCCATGGTCTCCCTTCCATCTAGGACCCTTGCCTGTGAAGGAGTCTCCTACCATGCCCTTTTAATCACCAGACGTGGCCCTTACCCGTGGTCTCTGGGCTGGTATGGCAGGGGGTAGAACCTGGGCCAAGGTAGGATATTTGGGGCTGGTTTAGGAAGTGATGGGCAGGAAGAAGTCCTGACACCCTGCCAGCACTTATACCCACACAAACACAGAAATATCACACACAGCACACTGCCTTTTCCTCAACCTCATCTCCTGCCTTCAGGAGGCACAGCAGCTGGAGGGACGTCCATACAGAGCCCAGCAGAGAGAGGGACCGAGAGCACAACAGGCTCATTTTGCTTTCAGCATGTCCTTGCATGACCCAACACGTGCCGACAGCATCGGTCCCGCTGACACGGAGCAGCCCAGCATTGCAGGTCCCCTGCAGCCCCCTTCACACTCATTTCTCCTTACAACCCCATTCATGTGTTGCTCTGGAAAGAGGAGGCTGTGCTTCAGAACAGAATTTGCTTTTCTCCAGCAAAAACCTCAGCAGTAAACCCTGACTGCTTATATCTAAATTCAACCCCAACCCTACCGCCAGCGTAAAAACCCCCATCTCTTCCCTAGAAGCTGTTTCCACTAGTTGCTCTTTCCAGAGCCTGTTATCATGATCTCACAGCTGTCAGGGCAGGAAATGGAGAAATCGGGAGGCCCCGAGGGGCTGCGTGAGGTCGAGAAAAGCAGGAAATGTGTGGAGCTGCTTCTGCGGCACCCAGCACAGCACGGCAGGGCTCAGTGTGGCGTTGCCGGGAAGGACGGATGGTGTGGGAGGAATCAATAGGAAGCTTAGAGTGATGTATCTGAAAGCCTCAGGGCAAGGAAATTCAGTGTTTTGGGGAGTTGTTTTGTCCTTAGAGTGTGGAGGCCTTGGCTGGAGGGAGCGATGGGACCCAGGCAGCCTGGAGTTTGTTCCCAAGGCTCTCCAGTGCTCCCAGGAACTTCTTCCATGTCTGACAGCACTAAGAGTGAGCTCTGCGTGGAAGTGTAACATAATTGGGTTGTTATCAGACTGTAAAGTATTGCATATGTAGCTCTGGATGATCTGGTTCATGTGGGAACAAAGGCAGTAGATCACGAGGGTTTATGTTAGGATTTCCCCAGTGAGTAGGTGGGGTGATACTTGGGATGTAAAATGTCCCAAAAGTTTATTTTGGACATCTTCTTTGGGGCAGGGCCTTGTACCACCACCCCTCCTGGCACATGTCAGGCAGAATGGAGACCTTCACTCATGGGTGCTGTATTGTTTCATCCCACAGGACCACCACGACATGCTGCTGGAGATTGAGAGAGACAAAGCCATCACGGACAAAGTCATCCTCATCCAGAAGGTGGTCCGAGGGTTTAAAGACAGGTGAGTGTGAGCCCCACTGCCAGACAGGAGGTGGGCTATGTGGTGTGTTTCCCCCAGCAAACAGCTCCTGGAGAATGCATCACCCAGTGCTCACCCGACATGTCCTGCCTACAGCTGGGGAGGGGGGAGCCCTGATGTGTTGGCACTCAGGTGTCACAAGTATTGAAGGAAAACAGTAGAGGAAACAAGGGAAAGTCTGTAATAATCTTCCTCACACATGGACAGAATACGACCTCCTGTCCTTGTTCAGTGCTGTCTTCAGGGGAGCTGGTGTTTGTTATGGCAATGCAGCAATGGGACTCTGAGTCTGCTGAAGGCAACACTAAGCCTCCAGTCTGTGGGGAACCCCACAAGACTACACTGGGACCACTGGGTTGTCCACTATGACTAACGTTGCTCTCCTCAAAACCCAAGGGGTTCAGGACTCCTCGCTGTGCAACCCAGTTGCCAGAACTGGGAGGAGGGGAGGTAGGCTCAGGGGAGTTTATGGCACAGTTGTGCAAGAAGAGAGGGAGCCACAGCCAAGGACAAGCTTCACCGATGGAGGAGAGACAGTCCTTGGAGCTTTGTGATTTTTGACTGTCGGAACCATGGCTGTGACTCAGTTTGTGCCTTGGCTTTTGCAGAAAGGGCACATGCCAAATAACTCAGTAATCCTTCCCACAGTAATCCTAACAAGACCCCAAAGTACTTCCAACACGATTGTCCCCAAGGTGTCTACAGGTAGGTGGGATCAGGCCGGGCTAAGAGGGATGGGAGGAGCAGATATGGGTAACAGGGTGGTATTGCTGAAGTTTACTCTTGATCATTTGAGTGAGACTGAATAAGTTTGCAGGTGTTGGGATTGAAGCAGGGAGAGCAGGAACGGAAGAGATTTCAGATGAGAGGAGGATGCAGCAGGATGGGCAAAGGGGACCATTTTCAGTGTTTCCTGCTTTGCCCATTCCCATAACCTGGCAGAATCTTCTTGCAGACACTTATCAGAGACAGCTCCTACAGCTCTTTTTATGAAAGAAAGGAGGGTTGGGGAAGGAGACGTTTTCAGGCCAAAAATGCAGTGTTTACTCCACCTGGCTGCTCAGTTTCAAATCTCCAAAGAATGAGGCCCAGGAGATGATAACCTGCAGCCAAACTGCAGAGGCAAGTGACTGAAATGCCTTTGCAGGTCTAATTTCCTGAAAGTGAGAAATTCTGTCCTGATGATTCAGAGGTACTGGCGTGGACATAACTGCAGGAAGAACTACGGTGCTGTAAGTATGGGGGTGTTTCCTCACACATCTGCCTTCCTACTTCTCTCAGCTGGGACATGTGTAAGAGTTTCCTGGCTCAAAACACCCCACTGAGTGTAGGAGGGAGTGGGGTTGGCTTTCATCAGCTGGATCAATGAATGGAGGTTTGCTCTTGCTGCTTTGCCTTCTCATTGAAGAGAGCACCTGACCACCTTATATTTGTCCTTTCCCCGTGAGCTACATGTCCATAACATCAGCTGGCCACCTGGGGGTTCAAAAGTCTTCCCCTAGTTTTGCAGGAGACTGAAAATTCAAGAGCAATTTCCTCTGAAAAACAGATCCCATCTCTAAGTGAGACCATATCTGGGTTCCTCCTCAACCTAGGTCATGCCTCTCTTCTCTCCCTGTCCCAGCTGGCTCTGACCTAACAGTGGGTCATCTGGGAAGTGTGTTGGGGTCTAAAGTGTCTCAGTATCATCCTCCAAGCCTGCAGCTTGATAGAAATAGCCACTTCCAAGCTGTTCAGGATGTCTTCTGCTACAAAACAGCCATTCTGCTGTCAGGCAGGAGGTCTGCAGGTGATGGACCTCCAAGGGACCAACCCTCATGGATTGTGGCTGCCTTGAGGTGACTGACCAGACCTCCTGAGGCCTCTCAAGGGCAAAAAAATCTGTAGGATTCACTGCTTTTATCCTTCCTGGGCTTTGAATGAGTGCAGCAGCCAAAGGGCTTCATTTCTCCACCCTCTTGGAGAACCTCCCTCCTGAAGGCTCGTTCTGGTGGGGACTTTCAGCAGCTCTTATTTACAGCCGTGCAAGCAGGAGATTAGCGATGGAAATCTGCCTAGGGTGAGTGAACCCCTGGGCAGTGGGGTGGTTTCATCCTGCTCCCACTTGCAGATGCGGATTGGCTTCCTGAGACTGCAGGCCCTATATCGATCCCGCAAGCTCCACAAGCAGTACCACATGGCTCGCCGGCGGATCATCGAGTTTCAGGCACGATGCCGGGGCTACCTGGTCCGTAGGGCTTTCCGCCACCGCCTCTGGGCTGTCCTCACCGTCCAGGCGTACGCTCGGGGCATGATTGCCCGAAGGCTGTATAAACGCCTACGTGGGGAAGTAAGTACCATGGGAGAGAGGTCGGTCGTGGGAAACGGAGGTGGGGAGAGGGGAAATAAACATGCTTCTGCATCACATGCTCATGAGATTGGTATTCAAAGAGCAAAAAAAAATTCAAAAATAAGTAGAAGCCTCTTCAGAAGGTCTCTTGTGTTTATTTCCCCAGTATCATCGACGCCTGGAAGCAGAGAAACTTCGACTGGCAGAAGAGGAACGACTCCGAAAGGAGATGAGCGCCAAGAAAGCCAAAGAGGAAGCAGAAAAGAAGCACCAAGTACGTGAGAACTGATCTCTTTCTGTTGCTTTCCCTCTGTTTTCCAGGGACTGTTTTTGCTCTTCTGGGGGGGAATGTCAAAAATACTAAAGGATTTCTGCCATGCTTGAGCAGTTTGTATTTAATTTAGTAAAGCGCTCTGTACTTTAACGAGTTTGAAGCTGCTCCAGAATTTCTGATCTGCACAGGA